CTATCAAAATTGTGTTTGATGGAAGGAATCACGAAGACATATGTTCAGCAAAGGACATTTATGTTAGGAAGTTATAAGTTCTTAATAACTTTTATATTAGAAATTTCAGGTATTCTCCTGATGAAAGCAAAGGCAAATTTGTCGAAATACGTAAAGAAATATACTAAAAATAACGCTCGAAATAAAAACTAAAAAAACAAAAACGATTTTACTTTCACTTCCATTAATATTAGGGTGTAAAAAATGTTAAGATGTAAAAAACATTAAGATGCCCCTTAAGAGAAGGTCTTACAACTGGAAAGCGTTTTGCATGCAATGGACAATGACAAAATAAACGTGAATAACGCTAAGAAAGTTCTTTTCATTTATTTTCATAACAATAGATGTTACAGATCGTGGTTTACTATTTTTGCTTCTAATAATAACTTCAGTTTTGTGCTTCCTAATGACATCCAATAGAACATTTTTCACAAAGACTTGTATTTTAATCCGATTAAAATTCAATTAACCCAATCCTCCCTAACTTACTACTACTCTTCAGTTTATATAACAGCATTGTCTCAAATTATCATTTATTTTTTATGATTTTCTAGAATTTCACTTTATAATTGCTATATGTATATTTTATTATACGTATATCTCTTATTAACTACTTCCACTGCCCAATAATACTTTATACAGTTTTCAATTTTAATATAATTAATCTGCCAGACTATCTAACTACCATATATCCTGTTTTAGTGTCGTTTATTGCTATAGATTGCAATATTCTCTCGCAAATTCATAGTTTAGTCTTTCTGGTCTTTGTTTTACATTACATTCATTTTAGTTCAGTGTTTATTTTTCTTCGATATCCTATCTTTTCCTATTTCGACAGAATTCGAATTGATTTGTAATATAGCAGAATATTTAAAGCTATAGCGCTAATAGCTAATATTTGCACTATTATAATGATAGGTTGTTTTTGGGTACCTATTCCAATTTTAAAAAAGTGCTCTGTTTATATTAAAGATAAATATTGTAGCGTAAACAAAATGCTTTTGACGAACGCCTGTTGTTAATATAATTGTTTCTGTGTTATGTTTTGGTCGGATCAGCTTACCTATTGTCTTACTTAAAGTCATCAAAATGATTATGGGCATCTTAACCACCATCATTAATATGGCCATCCTAATGCGGTTCTCTGTTTCGTGCATACTCTTAAATTAAAAATCATGTGGTTCAAGCAACTCAGTTTTGGCAAACACATACTATTGTAGATTCTGGCAAATACTCCTATTAGTCTGCTCTGAATAGACACCGTGTTAGCAACGTCTTATTTAATTATTGAACCAATTTTTATATCCTTAACGTATATATTTCAGATAAATAAAGTAGATATTAAAAGTTTTGTCCGAATCCTGTATTTGACTGCATCTAGGAATTTGCTCTATAATTATTTAGTAACGTTTATGGAAGGTTTTTGAGATACGCATTTATATAGGTACGTAGAAACCTCTTCAAATACTACTTCAATTTCATATATCATGACATTTGTTAAGATTCTGTAATTAAAATTCTTTTGTTATAGTTAAATTAAATTATTTTTTCTCTCCAGCACTTTTTTCTCTCTTTTCCAATGTTATGTTCATTAGCCATGAAGGCAGTATGAACGCGTTACTTTATCAAGTTATCCATTATTATCTCTTTTTCGGATGCTATCACATTTTCAATCAATCTAAAAGAAACTACCAGTTTGTCATAAGAAAATATATTTAAATATTTTTATGAATATTCTCTCCACATAAGGGAGAGGCTGCATAATAATATTTTTTGTACATTCACTCTAAGTAAATGCCTCCAAAGTTTGAAAACGAATTCCATAAAAAAATAATTCTATAATTAATTAATGAATGAGTTTATACCTTAATTTGCATAAAATGTGTTAATTGCGCAATTGAAGTTTAAGGAAATAAATTAGTATCATTTATAAACGAATTTAATTACCATCATTTATTTATTCAAATTATTAAAAAAAAAATAAAAATGTGACGAGTTAAGTCAATTTAATACGGCATGACTAAATTGTATGATTCTATACACTTTTCCATTTTTAAAACGATGTCGAAATAAAATAATTATTTCAAAATAGTTTACACATACCTATAACATATAGGAGGCTTAAAGAGGGAAAAGGGAAGTATAGTAGAATGTTGGTAACTTTTGGCCTGATTGGCCTGAATGATTAATATTTGGTCAACATTACTTGCATTCTTACATTGGAAAATATATTAATGGAAATATCAACATCAACTAAGGAACTTAATTAAAAGATATGCTAATCCCATATATTTCAGGGCTTTCTTTTCTGGAATCCAATATTACGGCTCTCAAGCAATTGATAATATTATCAATCAATTAACTCGACTGATTATTAACAATAGATCCATTTAGATTGTGGGACTTTTGGTCTACTATAATAATTATATCAATTTTTTGTTAAACAATATTCTGACCGTGTAATTGAGGTAAAGGAAATTCTGATAAATATCAACATTCACTGCCATACCGACATAATTTACTATTTGCCTCAATTTACCATCAATTTAGTCGAACTCTCACACGGCCTATAATGCAAATCTTTACATCAGAATAAGGTTTTGAAATATTTATGCACAAAATTAAGTGTACAGATTTCTTCACTACAAGGCTATGTTGCTCATTTTTATCGCAGTAGTTTTGTTAAAAATTAAAATTGTTAACTATATACTAAGGACGACCCAACGGGATCAATTATCTACCGTTGCACCATCAAAAATAAAAAAAAACTGTTTGGTCTTGTTAAAAGTCTAGTGTATTTGTATAAAAATAAAGAAAATTAGACACATTGCCGTCAATAATATAACGAAGCCATAACCAACGATCTATTTTTCTAAAAGTAGGCGAGTATACTCTGACTGGCTTTTGGATTCAATCAGACTGTGTTACTAGCTTCACTGTCATACAAATCATTAAGTTACTGAAGCAATTTGTTTGATATTATGTTGTCTTCATAAATGAAGCTGTGGCTTCGTTGCTTATTTGATTTAACATCGTTAGGGTATTTTTGGTGGAACTTTTAGGGATCATTAGTCTATTAGCCATATATTAGTCAACAATGATTACACCGTTTCAAATAAATATTTGAAATAAAGTCCTGAATGTAGTTCCGAAAATATTGAAAATGTTTCAGTTTTAAACATTTTCATAGAACAAATAACAAATATTTATTTCTGGAACAAATAAACTCTGATAACATTCAACCAGCTAATATAGTGTGTATTTTATTAAACAGGATCTTAAAAGAAAAACAGTTTAAAGCTGTTGAAATAAAATTGTTGTTTAGTTATTGAAAAAAGTGAGGCTTTTTAATTTGTCATAATATAAAAAAATGGTACAAGTATTAAGATTCAAGTATTCTAAGTACTTCCCATTTAAAGAAAAATATTGAGCTATTGTTATAATATTAGTGTGATCAGATAAATAAATTTATTTGAAATTTTTTGTTTTATTTACTTATCACAAAATATTAAAACCTGATCTGTGAGAATAATCTTTCGATTCTCCAGTCCTAAAATTCATTTTATTCCACCTTCGTCACGGTATCTTCCCTTACGAATTTTCTTCATTGAAAGGTTTGTTTTTAGGAATATTGTTTTTAACTAATCTACGTGAGGCAAGTTTTTAAGAATATATAATTTTTCCTTCACATAAACATATAAATCAATCATTTAAGTAATTGTCAGCAACTTTTTAGCTTTGTATTTAACTAATCTGCGTGAAGCAATTTGTTGAAAATACATAATTTTTCTTCCAAATAAAGAAATAAATCAATTAAGTAATAGGATGCAACTTTGTAGTTCTACTTTTGAAATTCCCACGATCTTCAAAAACGTGGGGAATAAATTCCCACGATCTTCAATAACGTGGGGAATAAAAAGCGAATTTGTTTGCTCAGGTACTTCACATTTTTCATGAATGAAACTGACATTATATCAAATTATTAAAAAGAAACATATATTATTGAAAATAACGATGTCCAGTTAAAGTTAGATGATCTGTATTTCTCGTTTACGCATTTCTCACGATCACAAATAAATAGTTACCATTTAATAGTGATTGTTTTATTTTCGAAGTTACTGCAGTCAAAAGATATATCAGCAGAAGCGATGTCAATTGATTGTACATAGCATAAGTAAAATGATTAATTCCGAATAACATAGAAAAGCATTTTATAGAAGTCGAAAAATCAGTTACAAATAGGTAAATAACAGATTTCAAGAATAATATGGGATAAGAGACAATAAAAGGAATAGGTCTATTATAATTATTGATACTAAAGTGCAAAAACTGATAAACCTTACATATCAGATGTAAAATGATTAATTCCGAATAACATAGAAAAGCATTTTATAGAAGTCGAAAAATCAGTTACAAATAGTTAAATAACAGATTTCAAGAATTATATGGTATAAGAGACAATAAATGGAATAGGTCTATTGTAATTATTAATACTAAAGTGCAAAAACTGACAAACCTTTGCTTAATATAGTAACCAAACGGTAATTCAATTATTTATAGCAATGTTTAATCAAATGCTTTTCACTCAAACAAAAACATAAACTATGTAGCCGGTAGATTTGTAGGTTGTAGGGTGAAAGATAAAAATAGGGAATACTTTCTACGTTGTGTCGTACTTTCTTTATGTTTGCAGTATATATATTAATAAACAAAAATATTGCAAAATAGTTGGATTGAACCCCCAAAACGAATATTGTACTTGTTTAGTTTAATCTCTGAAGATAATCGAAATACCTATTGGTATGTTAATATTAGCTGAAATAATATAAAGTATTTTAAATGATAAGTTAACGTTATTTACTAATTTTTATTGTGTTTAATAGTATTATAGATACAGAAGATTGGAAAATTATGCGAAAAATATCTTAACCCAATTTAGTTGCAATCATATTGTCTAAGCAGTTAGAACTAAAATGAAGTTAATACTCTTTATCGGATTTAGTTTGGTATTTACATTAAAAGTGGCAGTAGCAATAAATGGGGCCGATTTATTACCATATCTTCATAATCCGGAACCTCAATTGCAGTTGAAAAATCGGAAATCTATGGTAAAATAATTATACGAAATAAAATATTATATATAAATTCTAAATAAAACTTTTACGATTAGATATTCTTTGTGTGTAAGTAATCATGTAGATTATACTAATACTACTAATTATATACTAACAATATTAATGAAAAATATTTTCATTATGTTTGTTTAATATGGTTTTTTTATAATGTTCTGTTAATATATTTAATTGGTGTCTTCAATTTTATACAATTATCATGTACAATATAGTGAAACTTATATGCAATAAATAAATAACATATACAGGGTGAGTTTCAAAGTAAACTGGACATTTTATAAATAATAACAACCACATTTTTTTAACCCAAAATTGATTTATTTCATTCAAAAAGCCCACTTTTGATGTAAAACAGCCATTTGCACATTTTAGAAGTATATATTATGTGTTTTAGGTCGACGTGTTTAATGTTCTTTAAATTGACGGTACATAACTTTTACATATAGGAAATACTTCTCTTTCTTCGGTAAACTGAAGATTTCTTAAAAGTAAAACGTCTTACGATGCTAAATCAAATGAACACTGGGATTAATTGACAGTTAAAATTTTGATTTTTTTTTAAAAAATCAGTCAGAAGTGTTGCTTGACGAGGTGGCGAATATCTACGCAACAAACATTAACCTGGTACTGAGCCGAATATAAAGAATATACCGCTTCAAAATGCAATCAAAATAATATCTTCCACTAACGATTTGACCTGCTAATGTGAACTCCTTGCAGACAATGATTTTAGAAGCGTAAAAGAAACCAAGTCAATGTTTCAGTATTGACTTCACCAAGCTAGTTTTCATGGATTTTAATTCGTTTGGAGTCTTCCGATGAGAACTCTGATTCCTAGATTATTATGCTAACACCATGCAATAATTATGTTGTAAGAAATATTTTGTTCTTTGTAGTCTCATTGATAATATCGTATGAATATTGAATTCTGGAAAATTTTTGATAGTCAGTCTACTTTTGTGAAACGATTTCTCCCACAGTTTGTGTAAAAGTGTACAATGTTATCTCTCAAAATGCGATAAATTTAGTATTTTTAAGATACTCAATTCAAGCATAATTTTGATCACCGATTTCAATTATCCGTAAACTTGGTTAAACACTTGCAACGTTTCATTAAAAGTTTTCATTAAAACTTAGTATATATTAATTTATTTACATACTGAAAATATAATTACCAAATTAATAAATTAATAAAAAATTAATAAAAATCAAATAAAAATTGGTCGACCAAATGTCAAGCATTTTTACAGTGCATCATTAAAGGGTCTATGGAACCGTTGCATGGATTTGCCAATAAATATAAATAAAAAAATGAATTTTTCTGAAAGAAATTAACACCTTTGATTTTAAACACCTGAGTAGTTTTTATACCTACTTCTTTGCATTTTTAATTTTATATAACAATAATATTTCTTATTTAAGGATCAACGTATTAGGGATCACGGTTATCCAGCAGAGAAACACAAAACAATTACGGAAGACGGCTATATAATAACACTGTTTCGCATACCTTACTCCAATAAACTCCAAAATCAAGATGCTTATCGTCCCATTGTTTTACTTCAACATGGACTATTTTCTTGTTCCGATGCTTGGATACTTACAGGACCTGAAAATGCTTTACCGTTTATCTTGGCTGACAATGGTTTTGATGTATGGTTTGGCAATGCACGTGGGAACACATATTCTCGTAATCATACAACAATTTCACTAAAGCATCCCAATTTCTGGCGTTTTAGCTGGCATGAAATTGGTTACTATGATATACCTGCCATGATCGATTACGCTATTGCAACAAATGGTCAAAATCAAAAGTCCATACATTACGTGGGCCATTCGCAGGGTACCACAGTTAATTTAGTGTTGTTATCTTCTCGGACTGAATATAATGCAAAAATGAAAACTGTTCATTTGTTCGCACCGGTAGCGTTCATGAGCAATATGAATGATAAATTAGTCCGGACGTTGGCTCCCTACTTGGGTCACACAAATGTCTACTCAGCACTTTTTGGTTCTCAAGAGTTTGTGCCCCATAATGACTTATTTATGCTTTTAGCTTACAATGCTTGTGGTTCCGAGTCGATACTTTTAGGTCTATGTACATCTATTTCATATATGCTTGAAGGTGAAGAAACCAATACAAATAGGGTAAGATTATTTGCTTAGTATATTTTACGTATATTGTTGACAAATCTTGCAAATTCATTTTAGACTGCGTTACCTTTGTTAGCCGAAACACATCCTGCTGGTGCTTCTACCGATCAAATCTGTCATTATATGCAAGAACAACAATCTGGCTATTTCCGTCGTTTTGACTTTGGTTCAAGCAAAAATATGAAAATGTATGGTCAATCAACTCCACCAGACTACACTGTGGATCAAATAACCGCTGAGTTGCATTTGTGGTACAGTGACAACGATGACCTGGCTGCTGTGGTTGATGTTGAAAAACTCGCTGATTTATTGCCTAATAGAGAAATGCATCATGTCGAAGATCCTACATGGGCTCATGGCGATTTTACGATGGCAATGGAAGCACCCACTGTAATAAATGAACCCGTCATTGATATTATGTTAGACTACGAGCAAAGACACGGCAATGAGAGATGAGGCAACAATTTAGATTCTTATGATAAATTCTTCTATGATAAAGAATTTGTGTTTCTATGAAAATTAAAAAATTAATAGAACCAAATAAATAAAAACTTAATACAATTTTAACACATATATATATATGTATGTATTACTTTTTATAACAATTAAAATTATCTCTAATAAGAAAGGTAGTTTAATATATGTTATATATCATATATGCTGTTGCCTTTAAACGATGGTACATTACATAATTATAATTTATTCCTTCCAAAAAAGTATAAATAACAATTGGTCAAAATTATATGATACTTTCGAACTGGTTAAAATCATAATCATTAATCAAAAGTTTAAGTAAAAAAAATGTATTTGCTAAAGAAAAGAATTTATTTCGCCACAAAAACGTACCAACTCCTTTATCGACAATTACGACTGTAAATTTGATTGAATTACATACAAGCTGAGCATTATGAGGTGGCATCACATTTATTTTATTCAATAGATATGACTTGATCTAAGTCTTACATATTTTTTTATTACTTATTATATGAAAGTTTTCTTGGAAGAGATTTAATTAAATTGATATATCATTCCTTTAACTAACAAATATTTTGAGGTTCTAAGTAAATTGTTATATTTGAAAAAATATTAAAACTCTACTCTATGGACTCTATGGATTCCGATACAATACATTTATGCCAATGAATTTCTATTTCTGAAAACAATTATAGAGGTTAATTCTTTAAATATTCTTTAAAGCGCCCAGCGATTCTGTTTTAATTCTTCTTAATCCCCTCATTAGCACACTGTTCTATATAGTACTAAAATGGCATTGCTTGATAGAGTGTCAACGTGACACTCTTTTTCCAAAAAATTAAGCGTGTGTTGTCCCTCTTTTCAGGCAGAAAACAAAACATGTTTTGGAGTGATCCAAATGAAATAATAATAATACCAATGAGTATCTTATTGTCAATCAATGATTTCTGAGTACTATGATTACTGAGTATCTTTAGTTTCGTTTTCGTGTTATTCATTAGTTGATATTGAAGGTTTCCTAGGATGATTTTTATCTTCAACATTTTCTGTACCATTTTTTTAATCAATTGTTTATATTATAAACATCTGAACATTTCTTTTGAATATAATATACCCTGGTATATCGCAGGCCATCTTTATAATTTTCTATCGCAACGACATTGGACATTGAAAAAATTGCTTAATTAACATTTTATTATTTTTAAAATTATTGGACAAATGTAGATATGGATATAAAATTTGATGCAGATGTAGTTGACAGTACTACCAACTTAAATTTTTTGATCAAAATTTTACATTTTATCAAAAAGGCATCAAAACATGCATTCGATTAGATTTATTTTCGTGGATTTAGCATTTTAAATTATTTATAAAATTCGCGAATTCATAGAAATTCATAAATGGAACAAGTTATTATTTAATTGCTTTAAAATAAATAAACTTTTTAATTGTAAAAACAACTAATGTATCTATTGTATGCAAATACATATTTTATTTTAGATAACTTCGTAGAAATTCACATATTTTGTTTTCTAATTAATGCCATTTATTAACTTTATTATTTTTGTATTCATTTTTATTAAAAGTCAAAGTATTTTATAAATACTAGAAGCAACGATAAACTGCTAATTGATACATTGATGCACTAAACCACATTGAATATATTAAGATATAGTCTTCGACTAACACTTGTTAGGATAGGACGGTTTTCTCTGCGGTCTCGTGTACGTTAACTAATTATTTTTTTATTCTTCTGGTTGGTGCAAAGAAAATTTTCGAATAATTTTGAAGAACTAAAACCAGTAGAAAGATAAAAATTTAAAATTAAAAAAAAATACTCGATGCACTTGCGTCTTGAATGTGAAGTAGCCTTAGTGAATCACAAGACCAGGCTTAAAGCCAAAAAGAAAAAACAGCAAATATTATATATGGGTTTTCCTTTACTTGAATCTAATATAATACTCAATAATAAATTTAAAGTTAATAGTGATAAACTTAAGAGAAGACATCAAACCGGTTGCAAATTCAATTTTTTTGCTAAAAACAAACGGTCAAAACTCAATTAAATGTGAAAATGCTTTGTGATGAGAACCTGCTAGTTTTAAGTAAAAATGGAAAAGTAGTAGAGATACTTTTCAAAAAATTACATTACAAAAAATTTCGATTCTTAAATTTTTAAATTCGGATCTTGAAAATGGTGTCTACTCGATTTCAAACACTTACTAGATATGAGGAAATGTAAAATATTTAATCTACTAACATTTAATAGTTATTAGTTTCTCAAATATGTAGGTATTGCCTGGAACATATATTGTACCTAATGCGGTGTTAAAACTGCCATTTCAAGAATATTTCGTTATGTGTACCACATGGCCGTAAAAATTATATTCGCCCATTTTGTGCTACATGTTCAGGCCTTGGGCTCTACCTCAAAACAGCAGAAATATAAATTAATATATATTTAAATTTAAAAAATATTTAATTTACGATTTACTGATTTATAAATTAGTCTTAAATGCAAATTCTCAAAACCACATACGTTCGGTCCGTATCTGCTATCAAAATAATTTCAAAATATCTTTCTGAATTACAAGACTTTTTATTTTAATAAAGAACTTAAAACCTATTACCCATTACATTCGTATTCTATTACAAAGTATATTCATTCGAATAATAAACTTTCTGAATTAATCTTTCCAACGATACTTTAACTAGAACAAATTCATTCATTAATATTTTCAATTCATTATCGCATTTGATATAGGCGTATATATTACACACAAGTTAGATAACATATATGATATTATCAGCCTTTGTATTTTGTTTTTGTAAATCGCATGCACGCACTTAGTGGTGTTATTGGTTTGGGTACTAATAGATGTTGAAACAAAGCAAGCTAATAAGATTCATCACTGGCCTTACCTCTCATTGTTTTTCTTTCAAATATTATTTGTAAGGGTGTAAGCTTCACTTATGGCTACCGAATTTCGAACAGTCAAATATGGCTTCACGGGCATTATTACGGGGATTATTGACACCTTACTAGATATTGATTACATTATTTCAAATAATTACATTTTTATTTCATTTATTGACTTTGAGAAAGCATTTGGTAGAAATGGAAATAAACTTCACAGATAGTAAATTTCAACTAAAGTGCTTAATTATGTTAAAAGATTTCTTAACAAATCAAGTTTTAAAATGCATATTAAATAATGTACATAACACTTTGTATAACTAATTTTAACTCGAGATGTTTTCAAAACCCCTCTTTACGCCTTGACTGGATTATTGTTTATCGCTTCATCAGACTAAGCAATAATATAGTATTTAATATTTAATAATTTATTTTTTTTATAATAAAAAAATTATAATTTATTATTTATATTTAAAACAAATTTATTTGATTAACATATAGTTTCTTACAGTTCCATATAAACCAACATGCAACAACAAAATGTGTGCATTTGTAGAAATTACAGTAGAGGTATTTAATCTGTCTTGCAAAGTCATTGCAAGGTGCACGACATGCAAGAATGTTATATTTTCATTGCAAGATTGCGAGAACATCTCTGTTGCAGAATTGCAACCTCAAAATGAAACAGCTGTTTTTAGAGCATACCCATCCACATAAGAAGCAACAGATATCAAAACAGCTGTTTTTCCTTTTTTGTTTTGTTGGAACTATATATGCATGGGTTTAAGTATAGCAAGATTGCAAGCAATTGCAAGAAGCTTTGTATGTGTATATTGTTGTTGTCCATTGCAAGCAAGATAGAGTGAATGCTTCTAGTGGAATACAGTATTTGTATAATTACGTTAGTTGTTCTTGCATTAAAAAACCTTAGTTGCTTTAAAGCAATAAAATAATGATTTGTTCCATTCATAAACTTTTACAAAAAATGATCTGTTTAAAAGTGAAAGGCTTAAAAGCTTGTCCAATACATGTATGGTGTCTACTTGGTATAATAAAAATATCGGTACATCTTTATTTCTTTCAAAAAATATTTCAATTTCTTGTTTCGGTTTATATGTACATATGATTTAACCCCTTAAAGGACACATCCTAAAATTAGTGAATAAATTAGGGGTTTAACAACTTTTATTTTCTATATATTAATTTTCTGTAAATCCAATATCTAGTAATTAAGTTATAAAATTATCCGAAATTGCTAAAAAAAACACAAAATATAAACAATCAATCAAAATTAATTTCGCACCTTCATAGTAGATATCATCGAGGTAATACAACTATGTCCACTATTATACCAATCGTCTAGATATGGCTTTCAATATTTTTTTATATTCTCAATCGACTCGAAACGCCTTCCTCGAGGTGTGAATTTTTACTTCCAGAAAAAACAAAAAAAAGGCCCGTACTTCAGGTGAGTACTATGTCCGCTGTATCATGTTCATTGAGTGTCGTCAAAAATTCTCATAAAAAATTTTTATTCCCAGCATTTTTTATAACATATATATATATTTCACTTTGACATCTCTCCATTCCAATTTCTAGGAAAAGTAATATTAATAGAAAAGAAAAAACATTTTCATGTCAGAGACGGTATATTTCTTATGCGCGTATTTCAAATATTAAATTTTGTATGCTTTATAAATTCAATATACCTACATATTTAGATCACAAATACATAAAAATTATATAAAGATAATTATTTTTATGCTATATATAATATAGAAAATATATTTTTAAAAAATAACTTATATTATAAGTTTTAAAGAAAATATGTAGCTCTAATTTTGAACGATGTTTTTATTTAATACAATAAAATTGTTTTTATATAAAACTTTTATTGTTAGTATTATGCGAAAACCGTTTTTGCATTCTGTTATTCTGGAAAAAGAGAAATATTTAACATAAACCAAAATATATTTTTGCAGAAAGCTCTATTTTGTTGCAGAGCATGTATACAAATTGATAAGATGTTGCTATGCAATATGTTTAGACACAAGTTGACGGAAGTGGTCATTTTTTTTATTGCATTAATTTTGAAAAATTA